TTCCTAGTGATTTATTTTAATTTTTTAAGACTTATTTACTTATTTAGAGAGAGAGCACAAATGGGAGAGGCAGAAGGAGAGGGAGAGAGAATCTCCAGCCGACTCCCCACTGAGCCCCACATGGGTCTCGATCTCAGGACTCTGAGACCATGACCTGAACTGAAATCAAGAGTCAGAAGCTTAACTGACTGTGCCATCCAGGCATCCCCCTGCCACCAAGTGATTTATTTTATAGTGATTCTACAATGAGGGGAAGTCTCACCCTACTATGTATCAGAAACTTTTTAAAGCAACAGTGTCTAAAACAGTGGAGTGATGCAGGAATAGATAGATATGTAGCCCAGATACTACAAGAGACCTCTCTGCCCCTTGGCGATTTAAATATAAACTTTTCTTGACCCTGACTTCCTGGTCAGTGAGAGTTAAGAGAAATGCCTGTCGTCCTGTGACTTACAGGATGAGATTTTTGTGCTTGACTAATGCACCTCATGTTTCTTGCTTCTGCTTGCATGCCATCCTGATTTTTGCCAGTGCCAATACCAATGTGAAATCAGGTCCTTTTTAACTAGTTTCCAAAACTTATTTAGCAGTTTGTAAGTTTAGAAACTCTTGAGTAGGTGACAGAACCAGCAGATTTTTTTCTTGGTCTTTGAGCAAAATGTTATTGTCCACATCCATGCCCTCCTTCTACTCATACACTTTCCTAAATTAATACAGTTGCTTTCTTAAGGAAATTCTGAAGATTAAACCTTTCTTCCATTTTGTAAAACATGGATCACTGCAGCATTATTAGGAATCCAAAATTAGTCCCATCTACATATAATAACTGAATATATGATAAAATATTCTTTCCTATAGGAGAGGCCACTTAAAGGATATTTACTCAATAGTATTAAATAGTAGTCTTCAGTGGTGTAACTGCAAAACTGATTAGACAAAAAAAAAATTCATCCATACTTTATATAACCATAGGAATTTAAAAGAAAAAGCATAGAAAATACCTTTACATCTCATATTTGATGCATTAGTGTAACTCTCCAAGGTGTAAAGATGTACTTGAATATCTAAAAAAATTGTTTGACTGAAATAATTAAAAGGATCACAGGAGATTGTAGGAAATCTCTGCATCAAAAGTTACAAAGAAATGATAATAGCTTTAACAGTTTTATATTATTGCAGAATATGCTAATTTAGACATCAAGATCCTAATATATAAATGAGAAAAAATATGACAGATTAAGAATATGAAAATGAATATGAATAATAAATGCAAGGGAAAATATCTACCCTTATACTTATCACAAAGTTACAAGTAAAATGACTTTCCACGGTTTTTTCATTGTATTAAAGGAACTAAATTCTTTAAAAAGAAATCTAATATTGGCAAGATAAACAGTGATACCAAACTCTTTTGGAAGGTAATACCAGGAGTATATGCTGATAGTCACAGTAATGTTCAGATATTTCACTCATAGGAATTTAGGAAATAAATATTGTGCTAATTAAAAGTCATAGATATAGAAAAAAAATGCTTAGAGACTAATTATAGAACATCAATGTAAAATATCATGTTGTCTTTAAATAATTATTTTTGAAGATTCTAGAACAATTGTCCAATAGAACTTTCTATGTTGATGAAAAGTTCTATAATTTGCACTGTCCAGTATGGTATCCATTAGCCACATGTAGCTACTGAACATAAGAAATGTGGCAAGGGCAACTGAGGAACTGAATTTTAAGTTTTATTTAACATTATTTATGCTGAAATACTCACGTAAGGCTAGTAGCCATGGTATTGGACAGTGCAGTTCTAGAAATATGGAGAAATGTTAGGTGAAAATAAGTTTATATGACATGATTACAAGAATGTAAATAACTTGTATGTACATAAGGAAAGTGATATTCACAATTAAAATATCTGTTAGGATAGAAGGAAATGGGTGATTTTTTTTTAAATGCTGATTAAAAGATCAGGTGAAAATAATACACCACTCCCAGCGCTGTGCTACTCAATATGGTACCCACTAGCTTGATGTGGCAATTTTCATTTAAATTAATTTAAATTAAATAAAATTAAAAACTCAGTTCCTCAGTCACACTAGCCACATTTCAAGTGCTCAATAGCACACACGGCTAATGTTTACCATTTAGACAGAGGAGATTATAGAACATTTCTACCATTGCAAAAAATTCTGTTGTATAGTTCTGTGGAACTGATAAAAGGAATGTACTGCAACAAGTCATTTGATTATTAGTAATTTCTAAGGGCACAAATGAATTAAAACTGGAAAGTGAATTTAGTGAAAAAGTATTAGGAGGAACAGTGTTGTAAGACCTTATACATGTAACTTAGATCAGCTTTCCTTAAAATATGGGCTGCAAACTAGTGCTGGTTATACCAGTCCATGACTAAATGCTTACTCTCAATTTCATACTTGTTTAGAAATTTTTATAGCAATGTGATAGTTGTTTGTCATCCAAGCACATCACCTATCTTATCTCATTGAACTGATCTAGTTATTAATGAAGCTACCTGTAGAGTTCTATGTAGTATAAGCTGAATATTAGTTTGGAGCAATAGTAGTCCATGAGTATGGGTCCCCAATGGGAATAAAAACAGTTCTTTACTACAAATACCATGTGATTTCACTCATATGTGGAATTTAAGAAACAAAACAGATGAACATAGGGGAAGGAAAAGAAAAAAAGAGAGGGAAGCAAACCATAGAGACTCTTAACAATAGAGAACAAACTGAGGGTTGCTGGAAGGGAGGTGTGTGAGGGGTGGGCGAAATGGGTGATGGATATTAAGGAGGGCACTTGTTGTGATGAGCACTAGGTGTTACATGCACCTGATGAATCACTAAATTCTGCTCCTGAAATCAGTATTACACTATAGGTTCACTAACTAGAATTTAGTATAAATTTGAAAAAAAAAATTTAAAAAACAGATCTTTACTATAGGCAGTAGGAGAAACATTGGTCAAGATGAAGAAGAGAAATTAGGCTGCTCAGGGCAATTTTTTAAGGAACCTAAAGTAGTTGTTAGTATAGCTTAATATATACTTGCAAGTGAAATTAAAAATTGAACACTAAATCTCTGAATGTGATAAACTTAGACTTCATCCCTCCCGCTAGTAGAAATAAGACCAAAGATTCATTCTTCAATAATGTGAGTAAGGATTTTAAAGGAGTTCTTAGTCAGTGCCTCTATTTTGGGTGTCCTATTTTCCTCCTGGGTATGGAGGAGATTCACCTAGCTAGCCGAATCTTTTCCTTTTAGCAAAATTTCCAACCTAGTGTTTTCCTTTACCCCTTCTAAGCTCCTTTTGGCATACTGTTACACTTAGTTCTTTGTAACTCTTTTCATCTCTTCCCCACAAAGTTAGTTTCAAAGGCTTGCAAAATGTCCCAAATGAGAGAATTGTTTTAGACTAAGCTTCTCACGTTTTATTTTAAAATTTCCTTTTTTCACACTTAAGCTTAATTGATTCCCTGATACAAGATATTCAGTTGACTTATTTGTGAAATGTGAAAAGCTTTTTACTACTATAATTAAGGTATAATCTGTTAGCTAAAGCATTGTTTTAATGATACAGGGTAAGCATAATCCTAGATTTACTACCTATTTTTTTAATTGTGGTTTTGGCTGTACATTAAATGACTGCCTATTCCCTAAAATGAAATGCCCCATATGGGCTGTCCAGTTTGTTTTGAGGACCAATTCCACATTTGTGAAATTTGGGGTCAAATGAAAGCAAGTACTTACTATATAATAGTTATTTCTTCTGATTTTAGTGACCTTGCATTTTGGATTAAAAAATATATACATATTCAGTCCTTCATCAATATGATTGATTAATCTGTTACTGATTTTAGCATTTCTTCTTTTTCTCCCTAATTTATCAAATTTGAAAAGGGCTAGAAAACACTTGAAGGAAATCAATCTGTTTTCAGTAACAGTCTATAAGTAACAGAAAAAGAAATAAATGAATAGTGTTCAGCATTTCTTGTTTAAATTTTGTGTTTTTTGAGATTGAAAAAACTGTACATATTTAAAATATATATAAATATATTGATAGAATGGCATCTTCTGATTTCACTTTAATATTACGATTTGCTTTACTTAGAATTATAGATAATCATATTATCACTTGGCTTATGTAGTATAGTATCTTCAAAAGATGAAAAATAATACTAATGTATTAAGAAAGCATGTTCTTATCTGTATTAAGCTTATTTTGTTTGATATTTGGTAATATTATTTTTAAGATACAGTGTATGATTTCCTGATCTGAACAAAGTATTCCATTTCTTTTTAGGATTTGGGTTGTAATAGATTCATAGCATTTTCTCATAAATATGTTAAGGTACAGCATTTTAAAAACATTCTTAATATGTAGTTAGAGGTTTACATTACTAATATTTTTATATAACACGCTTCAGACTCCTTAGAATATTTGTAGACTTCTTACTGTTTTATTTTATGCAAGTATTGACCTTGAGAATATTGACTAACAGGTTAATATTCTTTCGTTCAAATTTTTTTAGTGCTTACTATGTTTTAGGAACTATTTAAGGCTCTTCAGATAATCAGTGTTAAAAAAAGTCAAAACCCTTTTCCTCTGGAAGCTTACATTCTAGTAGTCTTCAACGAATTTAGCTTTACTGATTTTTCTAATGGAATTTACAAGTATGATCATTTGGCAACCCAGGATTTTCTGTATTTTTCTCAACTTCCCAACTGATAATTCAGTGCTGGGGTAGAAGTTTAAACTAGCCACTTGAAGTTTTGGGTTTATGGAGTAGTGTTTGGAGTATGCAGTATTCTTTAGGGAAGATACTCTTTTTTTTGAAAGAAGAGAATGTGGTTTTGAAATACTCATGATTTTATCTAATTTCTTTTTTTCAGAACCTACATTTTGTAATATATAGGTAGATAAACTTGAACCAGATGGTATGATCTCAGTATAATATTTTACTCTTCTCTCCTCCTTCAGGAAAATCTTTAACTTCCACCACAAGAAGATTAAAAAGAGGTCCCTCCTGCACCAAGAAAGATCTGCAGATCTTTTTCAGTGTTCTTGGAGGTGTGGGGTGTGAGAACTTGATCAGTTTGTGTCAACCACCTTGTTCTCTAAAGGTAAGCACTGTGTAGTGAGTGCACACTCATGGGCCCAAGCTCCTAATGCAGGTCTGGTTTTGGAATGCTCCATTGAGGGTTTGAGGCCATCAGCTTTCCTCATAGAAGGATGGCCTAGGCAGCCACTTGTGGGCAAGACATCGCACACATTCATCAAGAGATGGTTTTCCTTGTTTAGAAGTGAAGCATGTCCTAGAGATGTACGGGTGTTTTTTTAAAAAAATTCCCAATTATAGTAAAACTTGTCTTCCAGTTCAGCCTGCATTTAAATCAGTTTAATAATTGCTGTGGTGATCCCTCATCAAGAACTCTTCTTGGATGTCTTGAGATTTACATTCAAGAATTTTGAAGCAGTGACAGTGTTTAAGCAGTCTCGTGACTTAATAGCTTAAAGTGATATAAACCACTCTGAAGAGTTGCTTTTCATGATCTTTTTGAAGCTGTCTCTTACCTTTACTTCAGAAAAAGTCCCTTAAACCATTTTTTAAAATATGTATTAAGCTTCAGAAAGTATGGAAGCAAAGACCTTCTTAATCTTTAATTGCTTATGTCAGATCCTAATTGAAAAAAATTACTTAAAATGAGCAGTTTTTTTTCCTGATAGCTTTTTCCTTTCTTTAGGAAATGAAGAAATATACATTGTTGGTTCCCTGAGGGAAACCTCATAAAGGATAAATAATGTCTTGCCTTTATTTCTAAACTCTAGTATCAGAAAACCTTATTGTTCTATTGTACAATGTATTGACACCTCCCAAAAAGACCAATCTTAAACTAAATTGTCATTTGAAAAGCATTCATTTATTATGAAAAAGAACAGGAGCATGTTGATTTTGAAAATATCAAGATTAAAAGTAGGTTAGCATTAAATAAGAATAATTTGGACTGCCACCAAGAGACTAAATGTCTAACCAAACATTCACGTTATAGTCACCAGGATACTATGGTATTGACAATGAGGATTTAAAGCGCTGATAAAGAAATTAATTGGTCCACATCTAGTTTCATTCATCTTTTTTTCTTTTTCTTAAAGCTCTTAAAGTGATCTTGGAAACTTTAGTTCTAAAAGACATGAACTATTCATGAAGCATTAAATTTGGGAGAAATCTGCTGATTTTTGTCTGGTAGCCCTGTCTGGTTTATGATAAATTTTATTGTCTTTTCAAAATACTTGTACTTCCTATATCTGTATAATAAAAGATATTAAGGAGAAAAAAAACCCTTTGTTGTATTTGCTGTTAGAATGGGGAAAAAATGCAGCTGAGACCTTTTTTGAAAAAACCTTGAGAACAAGGTTACTATTTTTTATGAAAATAGTTGAGGAATTAGAACTAGTCCTGCTTATTGTAACTCTAGGCAACTTTAAAAGATTTAAATCTTCAAAGTAGATATGATATAGGTTATATAGTGAAGACATAGAGATCACTGAGTATTTGGAGATAATCTCTCTATATAGTTCTTTGGAATTTTTATTTGTGAGAGCATGTTAAATATTTTTAACCTTTATAACAGCATGGGACAAAATAGATGAAGGCATTAACTCTTTGAGCCAGTTGAGAAAAAAAAATTGAATTAAAAGTCAAACCAACTGAAAATGTAAGGTGGGATATAAGAATAACTAAATTATTATTTGGTACCTAAAGTATTATTATAGCTGAATTTTTTTAATCAAAAAACCACCCCATCTTTTTAAAAATGAGCTCTTACAATAGTATTGGCAATACATTTTGTAAAAGGAAAAATTTATTTCACCATGTTAGAACTAGTGTTCTAATTTCAGATCAGTTATGTAGCATGAATATATAAAATGGGGACCACTGAGATCTTGCCTTCTGTACCTAGAGTATGAAAAATAAGATCTTTTTTTAAACAATTCTTATTAATAACTTATATCACCTCCATTCATATTAGGCAGTAGAATAAACTATTGTTCTTTGATTTTGATGGTATATAGGAGTGAAAACCCAACATATTGGCACTAAGGAATTCATCTCTTGGCATTGGAACTAGGATCTGGGGAGATTTTATTTTTATGTATACATATATATATACTTAATCATACACACATATACATCCTATATTTATTTCTTCTTTTGAATTATGTAAGAATGATTTGTCAAAGATCAGATTTCCGATTTGTCTCACTAGTACTTAGATGCTGTGTTTTGCTTTTGTTTTTAGAGTCATAGCTAATTCATGGAAACAGTCCCTACTAGAAATTTAGTTTGTTTGGTGTGATCATGCTCCCTATCTACTCTAATAGCTAAAGGAAGGTGAGAGAGACAGCCCTATGTTCACCAGTATTGATTTTTTAGAGAAGGAACAAGGAAATTCTAGCCCAGCCCTCTCCTTGGAGCCATCTAGACCAGCACTGTTCAGTAAAAATAAAATACAAGCCACAAATACAAGCTACATATAAAATTTTAAGTTTGTTTTGTAACCACATTAAAAAGGGAAAAAGAAACAGGAAAAATTAATTTTAATTACATTTAAATTAACCTAATGTATCTAAAATATTATTTCAACATGCAATCAGTATAAAGATTTATGAGATTTTTTATTTTTATTCAATGAAATACTCAAAATCCGATGTGTATTTTACACTTACAAAAATTTTTTATTGAACTAGCCACATTTCAAGTGCTCAAAAGCCACACACGGCAGTAGCTACTGTATTAGACAGTACAGATCTACACCAAGGGTGGAGCTCCCATTTTAGCATCATCCATGGTGAATTCCACTGGGCAACTGTAAGCTCCCCTAGTTTAGAGTTTCCAGATTTAACAGAACACAAAAAATCAAGAACAAAAACAAAACAGGATGCCCAGTTTAATTTGAATTTCAAGTAAATAACAAGTAATTGTTTAGTGTAATTGTGACTCATGTTATACTTGGGACGTACTTAGAAAAAAATTATTTATTTGAAATACAGATTTAACTGGGTGTCCTGTATTTTATATGGCAATCCTGCCCAGTTTTAACTGAGTGGAAGACATCATCAGACTTTCCTAGATACTTGTAGGACTAAAGCAGAGAATCTCTTCCTCTGCAGAGGATTTTGATAACCAAACCCGCCCCCCCAAAATCAGTATGCAAACCAGAACTACTGATAGCCCATTTCTTCCTAATTCCCTAAGATGTTTAAGACAGAAGATGGGCTTGTATCACAGAGACTCAGTCCTTACAAATTTAAACATTTTGAATCTAAACTATTACATTAAGCTGTAAGGTTTATGAAATTTTATGACTTGAATGATTAGTTACTTGAGTTTATAAAATAGAAACTGTCTAACAGCTTATTGCTAGTATCACATCTTACGAAAAACATTTCACCCTTGGTGACCGTCTCGGCAGTTTTCAGCGTCTTGGCTATTTCAAGTTATTTTCCTACCATTGGTTACCACTGCAGCTGTCACATCATCTTGAGTTGGCAAGCATTAACACAAAATATTAGGTTGCTAAATGCCAGGATAAGGCTTACTTTACATGGCAAGTATTTAAGTACTTGTAATTCTGTGCTCTGGTGTTGATCATTGGACCCTGACCCAGTCGACACCCAGTCAGTTCTTAAACCAGTATCTCTCATTCATCCTGAGGCCTTCTTTTCCAGAACAGCTTTCCATTTGTATTTTTTAAACATTTTTAATGTTCCAGTTTTAGCACCGTTTTGAAACATGTAACAGTTTCTTTAGGAGTAGCTGTATCCCTCTTAACCTCTAGAAAAGAGACCATTTATAATTCGTGTTCTCTAAGGACAGTAATTACACCAGCTCCACACTCCCTCTCAAGGGGAACACTTGCCTTCACGAGGTGAATGACTTCAGGTGTCAGGTCTTCGTTACCAGCCAGGCAGGTAGACCCAGCCGCCAGTGCGGTTGGGCAGTTGAGCAGTTCAGTTCCAGCTATGGCGCATTCCAAATCCATTCATGCTTAGGAGAATGTACCCAAGAGTGTGGATATGTTTATAATTACTGCATTTCCTTCAGAGAACAAGAATTACAGGTAAGGTTTGTTTTTTTGTTTGTTTTTTTTGCAGTGATCCAAAAATTATTTTTAGATAAGAAATTTAAGGATTTGAAAATATTACTCTTTTCCCAAAACAGTCACCTAAAATATCTCAAATATAGCCTATATTATATAAAAGTTTTCTTCCTCACTCTAAGAAGGAATTGAACCTGGAAAGGAGGGGAGTGGGAAGAGACAACTTATTGTCATTTGAAAGCTGTGAAAATCACACATTTCCATGTCTAGAAATATCCTCGGTTTATGTAAGAATCTTACTTTGCCTAACTTCTAAGGTCTAAGGTATGAATTATTTTGTCAAATTAACACCTACATCTATATATAGGTAAGGTGTTCAGCCTTTGTGAGCTAATGTCTTTAACAGCAGTGAGTAAATTAACGAATTGTGTTTGGGTTTTCACTTTTATTCTCAAGTCTGACTGCCTTTGGTTTAAAGGCTTTAACCTTATTTCTGAAACCAAAATTTAAAGCTGCTGCAAAATACCTTAAAACATAGCTCCTTTTTTACCCAATGATGTTTGGATGAGCTTTAAAGGGTCTGTGAATTCCCTGAAATTATACTAAAATTTTGTATGTATGTGTTTTTTGCTGGAAGGAGTGTACATAATTTTCATTCTATTCTTGAAGGGCTTTGCAACAAAAAATTTGGTTAACAACCACTGATCAAGTCTAACATCATCACTTTACTGATAAACTGAATTTCAAAGAATATGTTATTTGCCTTCACTCATTTGAAATTTAATACTTGTAAAAACTAAAGTTTGTTTCTTAAAAAAAAAAAAAAAACAACCATTGTGCTTGTTTTTAGAAGGAAAAGCTTTACCTTGAATTAATTAAACTTGAGAAGACCAGCCTAAATGGGGGCAGTTAACTTGCTACTAGTTTCTTCCATTCTACCCTTTGACTAGAATCTTTATCAGTTGTTACATAAACATGGCCTCTCAACACAGTATGAGACTGTGTGATAAATTCTTGAAGAT